ACTATCGTACAATATTTCCTAAACCAATTTATGTTAGTAAATGGTTGTGCCATGGATATAATGAGATGAAAAGAATGGTACTGTGACGTGACTTATTGCAGTTGTCCAAATTTGAAAACACTTGGTTTAAAATTGAATCTAACGTGGGATGATGGAGTTATGCCTTTTATCGTCAAGAACTTCAAGTAAATAATTTTTTTTTTTTTGATTTTGGTTTATCACAGTGTTTTAATTGTTATTGTTATACTCTTTTCTGTCTTTTGGGAATTCTTTTGACGCTCAAAGAATAAGTTTAAATTCATATTTTAGTGCTTTGCAGTATTCATTTCTGTGGAGTTTTCTTATGCATAAAGTTAATGCTTTTATTTCAGGCACCTAGTTTTTTTGGATCTAAGCAATTTCGGGGATTGTTATAAGGATGAGGTCTGGGATAATCTGAGCGACGATGATTTGCCAGATTTACGTTTCCTCAAACTTTATGGGAATAAGGTATTGCCTCTTGAGAAAAAGCGTGAAATTCACTAAATTATTTCTCAAATTTTATTTTATGAATGCTTTCGGTTTTAATATTGATTGATATGTGAGCCATTTACGTTTGATAATAATAGCTAAATGAGATTATATAATTGTTAAATTGGTGTCGGAAATTGCTGAATTGATTGCAGAAGAACCAATAGTAGATATCGGAGAAATGTAATTCATTTAAAAAACCTTGAAGCTGAATTTCTCCTTTGTTATGATCTTTATCAATTTTAATACTCGTGCAGTTGTTCTCCATAGTCTTGACCATGTACGTGGTAATTCCGACTGTAAAAACGCTTTCTCTATATCAGCTATTATCACATTTCTCATTATTCTGAAACGAAGCAAAGCACGTGCTAAGTCAGATAATGTCATGGGACTGCGATAGAGGACATCTTTCAAACTTTTTGATCCTTTGAGATAAGCAGAAGCATCATACACAATTCGTAATTTTGCAGTTGACTTGCTGGGTTTTGTACTTCGTGATGAGATAAATAATGTACGATACCTTCGTGACTCATGTCCAGAGTAACTTCTATGATATTGCACTGCGTTTGTTCTTTGCCTATTTCATTATATCGACGGAGTACTTGTTTCTCGTATTGAAGTCGTCTAAATAATGTTTTCAATCTTGACAAGCCCTACTGAACAGTAACAGGCTGGACTAGCCCATACAGAAGTTGCTAGCAAATTTACGAAAAATATAAAGACAAAGGCCATAATTATTTGGGAGTTTGGTATCTTTCCATGGCCAGCAAACTTGGTATCTAATGTTTTCCTCAGCGGTGCTTTGTTTCAACAGATTTAGATCCCTTTCACCGTCTCGCGCATTTGGTTACTCTTGGATTCCTATTAATTCTAGTTTTCAAAACTGATCGATTTCTGGATGTGTTGTAACAGTGGTCGACTTGATTTTGTCAGAATCACTATCAATTTGATTAGAATTGCGAATCATGTATCCGTTACCTGTTATTCAAGATCAACTTTGGTGGAGATGATGTAGAATGTAGATGCCATATTGCGAAATTTGTGCGGTGACATAAATCTGAACGTTTCCAGTATTTTTCTGTCCCATCCAGTTGCTTTTAACTTATAGTCCTGGGCAAATTGTGAGGGTTTGACTTGATAACTTGTAGTTTACCAGTCAAATAATCTAATGCATGGGCGTCGTGATAATTCCAAATTCGGATGTTTTTATTCCCAGTTCTACTTTTGTATTTTGATAGAATTTTGGAACTTCATTACCAAAGAAGAAAAGCTTCAAATCTTCTTTTTCGATTCCATTTAATTTTAATCGATCGACTAGTTTCTTTGATACGAAGGAGGATTGGGAGTCTAGATCGAATAATATTAGAGCCCTTTTTTGAATGTTTGGCAAGTTTGGATTTATCACATCAATTTCTTTACATAACAATAGAACTTTCTTACCTTAATGATTGATTGATTGACTTGTTGAATTAATAATGACTGCCAAATTCGTTTCTTCATTTTGATCAACGTTGAGTGAGTTGTATTATACTGGTGTTTGCGATGGAAACATAGACGTCTCCTTTGATTGCGACTGTGAGTTGCATACTCCATCTGGAAGCAATTAATGCATGTTTTGATCTTTTCTAGGCGTTCGAGTCGTTGCTTGACCGTAAGGTAATTGGGGCATTCGTTGTCCCAATGGTTTTTATTACAAAATGTGTGCAAGGTCTTTTTTTCTTGCTAATCTTTGAGTCATTGTTTGACTGGAAGTTTTTTGCCTTAGTTGGTTTGAATTGTTTTGTTATGGATAAGGCGGAGGTTTCTTTCTTCTTATTGAAGTGAGATGTTTTTTTTGGAGTTTGTTCCTGACGGGGTTTTTGGCTCGTATCTATCTCTTCATTTCTCTGGACTAGTTTCATTAGAAACTGTTGAAGGTTACCTACTGTCCTAGTTTCTTTTTGTTCCTTTAATTGGTAGATTTTATCTAAGATCCATGGTGGCAATCTATTCTCAATATTTATTTCTATGCTGGTCTTCACCTATTGCTTCTAATTGTCGAAGAGTTCTTTCCATCGCTTCAAATATCAGTTTCCATTCTTTATCGTTCCGTTTGACAGAATGGAATTCGTTATAAAATAATGTTTTTATACTAGCGGATTTTCTGAATTTGTCGGTTAAAATCTGCCTTATTAATTCATAGTTCTCTGGAGTTATATCAAAACCTCTTACTGCTTCTAATGCTTCTCCTTTTAAACATGAAACTAAATAAGTGAGCTTTTGAGTAGTTGGAATTTTCTGAAGATGTACAGCTGCATTGATGCTACTCCAGAATTTTCACGCTACAGTTTTGGACCTCCATTAAAGATTGGTAGTGGTAACTGTGGTAAGTGTATTGTTGAATGTGGGTAGATGAGGATGTTTCTTTAGTAACCATATCTTTTGCATGTTGGAAAGCTAGTTCAAAATCATCGTGGTATGAACTGGAAGTGATAATTGCCTCCTTACAATATTAATTACGCTTAAAATACCTTGCTTATCATCGATCATGTTCTCATACCTTCCTTCTTCCTCCTTTTTCTTCGTTATTGTCGTAGTTTGTTGTATAAGATCTAGCCAACTTTGCTTGATTGCTTTCGACATATCAACGTACATTTCGAATCGTTTAATTTTATTCTTGACAATCTGTTTTTTCATTCCACATTGCTGTTTGTGTTGTTCCAGCGGTTGATTTCGGTTTGGTGATGTTAAGTGGAGTTTCTTAATGTCTTCAAGGAGTTTAATTACCCTCTCGATTGTTGGTTGGGCAGATTTGCGTGGCACCAAAAATGTAGTGAAAATAGATTGCCTTGTTGGTATGTGTGTGGGCAGTAGGAATCGTTTGACCGTTTATTAGAACTTGAAACCTGGGTAATTAAACCATAGCAATAATAAAAACGCAATATTAAAACATGAAACAA